GAGCTCTCCGATTGTTAAGAGATAACATATTAAATTTTTTAAGTCGCTGATGGTACGGTTGTCTATGTGAAAATCCTCTGCTTATGAAAGCTAGGTGTCGCGTAAAAGATCTTTGTATGCTTTCAACGCGTTGCGAATGGATCGCATATAGTGGATTCCATATAATACTACCAAACTCAACATGACTGCGCACCAGAGCGTTGTACAAAATTGTTTTAGTCGTACAACCAAAACAATCCGCATTCCGTTTAAGAAATCCAAGCATTCGTGCGGATGTGGTGACTACTTTATTGACCTGCGATGTAAACGTTAATTTTTTGTCAATAATAACACCCAAGTCACGAATCTCCTGAACCTCCTTCAATGGCGCGCCGTCAAGCTTATACACAGTAACAAGTGGTTTTTTTTTCTTGTGTATTTAATATGAAAGCACTTATTTATATTGAGGATCATACCATTTAAAAAGCACCAATGTTGTATACCATTAAGGTCACTTTGCACTAGAGCAGCATCACAGACAGTGTTAATAACTTTATAAATTTTTAAATCATCAGCGAAGAGAGACGATTTACAGTGCTTTATATGATTCTTAACGTCGTTTACAAATAGTAAGAATAGCAACGGTCCCAAATGAGATCCTTGCGGTACACCAGATCGCGCAATATAGGGAGTAGACTCAGCGCCTCCAACAACTACTGACTGAGGCCTGTTACGAAGATAGGACCTAAACCAGTTTAGCAAATTCTCTCCCATTCCATAACCACGAAGCTTCTGAATCAGTAACGCGTGACTGACTTTGTCAAAGGCATTGCTAAAGTCAGTATATATGGCATCAATCTGGCGCCCACGATCTAATTCCTGACATGTTTCAGTAACAAAAGACATGAGGTTCGTTTGAATTGAACGGCCTTTTCTGAAACCATGTTGCTCATCAACGATACAGCCGTCTAAACATTTGGAGATTACGGGATACAGGACAGACTCAAAGAGCTTGGAAAAACAAGATAAAATACAAACAGGACGGTAATTTTTTACGTCGGTGATATCTCCCTTTTTATACACAGGTACAACACGAGACCTTTTCCATACTTCAGGAAAAACACCATCTTTAAGAGATCTATTATAAATAATAGTTAGGGGCAAAGATAACACAAATCTACATCGTTTTACAAAGATAGGAGGAATCGAGTCTGGCCCAGCTCCTTTGTTAGTATCAAGACCTTTTATTTTCTTAGATATTTCATCCTCTCTAAAGCTAAGGGACATTAGGCCGTCAACATTGCCAATGTCGTCTGGAGTGGAACTGCCAACAAGTGATTCATCACAAGTATATACAGATGAAAATTGATATGAAAAAATATTAGCAATATCAGGTGATGACTGGGCTGTAACATTGTCCATTTTCATGCAAGAGGGAAGCGATGAGTGACCACCTTTCCTATTTTTAATAAAACTCCACACTTTACGCCATCTTATTTAAACCACGCTGTGGTTATTAGGAACGCTTTGGGTACACTAGAATCGTTTTTTGTAATTCCAGAGAAATTTAAAAAAAAAAAACAGACTTTGTTTAACAAAAAAATTTTTTATGGCCGATCTAAGAAATAATGAAGTAAGTATTATACCACGTTAGTTCCTTATCAAATGCGCAAACTTTTAAAGCTGCTTGCCAAACTGGAGTAGTACATTTTTTTTTCAGGACGATCAGTTGAACTAGTGCGAAAAATTAATTTTGAAAACTTGGTACGGTATAAAATGACATTTTCCTACAAGTTGGAGTGATCGGCACAGGGTTTAGGATCATAGGTTACATAAAGCACTATTCGGGATGACGTAAGAGAAAAAAAATTGGCAAAAAGTAAATATTTGTAACAACAGGAATGAAAAAACTGTCACATGGTGTACATTTTCTGGAATAAAAGGAAAATTTCCATAACTTCAAAAATACATGACTTAATTTTTTTTTTTAATTTTTCAAATAACTGGTGTGGCATTATCTATGAGAAAATTTCGACTTGACGTCGACTTTTGGGACACCCTGTATATATCTTAATCTGATGCGCTTGAGTATGTCAAAATGGCGATTTTTTTTAGAAATTTTAATAACGACCGCGAGTTTGCGTCGCATCCAAATCGTCAGATGAGAGCTTTTTTTTTAGGTTCATTTAACCCCCTTAAAAAATCTGACGCGCTCGATAAAAAAATGTTTTTTCATTTTTAACCCTTACGTACGACAATTCCCACCATGCAAACAATCAGATTAACATACGTACATTATTAAAAATACGTAGGACATGGATGCTACCAATATCTGACGCGCTCGAGTGTGTCCATGGCACAGTTTTTTTACATTTTCGAAAGTCTATAGCCGCTCCCTCCACTGATGAAACGGTTTTTTATATAACATATTTTTCTTATAATTATCTAAGCTTCGCAACCCAATAGGGTGTTCGATGATCATCGAAATGCTATACGAAAAATATCGTAACATCGGTGTTAAAGCATGGCCTGGAGGGGCCTCCCGCACGACCAATGCAACTTACGAAACAAATTATTCTTCTATGAAAGCATCCACAAATCAGGTTTATTAAAATTTTGAACGCGTATTCATTCTTTGCGCCCAGGTCGTTCCCTTTGTTCGTTCTTCGTAGTCTCGCTCGCTCTTTCTCTCTCACACTTCCCCACTACTCTTTATCAACAAAGAAATAGATTAAAAGGTTCTTCTTTATCAAAATTACTTTACATTCAGTCAGTTGATAAAAAATATATAAATATGTAATAATTTGTTCTGTTTCTTAATAAATTTCGAACCATTTCACTGTATTTCTTTGTCAATTCTTAATGCAAAAATCATCGATGTTATCTTTCGATTAGGACATCGATGTTTATCTAACATCGATCACCCCTACAACCCGATAGGTCTCTATGACGCTCGAGTAAATCCCCATTTAGCATTAGCAATCGAGGGCTCCCCTACTATTAGCTTCCTTGGCCCCGGGACGTAAGTAAACAAAAAAAAAAACATAACCCGTCGAAGACGTAAAGGACAATCGTAGACTATGTTTTTGTTGCCGTGTAACGACAAAATATAGTTTTCATCTAGCGCCATCTAGTTAAATATTTAAACACTGCAGGACGTACAATTTATAAATTGCGCCATAATGCACTTGAATAATTGGCTTGATAAATGATTATGGTTATGGTTACAGGTGTCAAGGATTTCCTGATAAAGACTCTATTAAAATAATAAAATTACTGTTGGTATTTATGTCGATATATATTTTTTTTCCAACAATTTTCCAATAAAAGCAAAGTTTGAAGAACAAAAATGTAATAAATAATTTAATAAGGAGAATTATAATGAACGGACTGTTTGCAACTGAATGTTTTTTTTAGCAAACCCTAAATTGAACATAGAGAAATCTATGTCTGATACTTACCTTTTTAGACTAGCTTTATGTATTTAGCGATTCTTATGAAGGATCGCCTTCTTACAAAAATAATATTTTCGTTGCACTTGTACATGAAAAAAAAAACTTATGTTCAACGACTACAATATTTATCTCCTTGGGATACTCTAAAACTTAGATATGGAAATAAACGAACATACTTGAGACATTCGTTTCCTATGGTCTTGAGAACATTTCCACTTAAAGTAGTGAATGCTAAAATTGCATAAGGCATTAGATTTACTGTCGGTTCATTTTGTTTTTCTTAATTAAATATCCTTAAATGTTCAAGAATAGTAGAAGAAACTTTTCAACAATTCCACTACCATTATGGTGCTTAATTTTATGAAGACGAAAAATTCTAAAAATATTTGCTTACTGAATTCTGTACCTTGATCCGTAACAACAGTTACCGTCATACCATGTTGCGTGCAGAATATAATAAGAGCTTGAACTTCACTTAAAACAGTACCATCTCTCAAATGATAATTTATATGTATTGAGAGACATGTTGGCAAAGAAGAACCCCAATGAAATATATGAATATTAAGTCATTACATATGAAATTGGCGTTTTTCGTACTGGCCACTTTAATCACGATGTTCTCCTCTTTGACCTCCTCGACCTTGACCACGCCTTCGTGAGTATTCTCCCGTCTCACGGTATCGCTTCCAAAGTCTGTAGATAACAGAAGGGGCTACTCCTAGATCATTTCCTACATAACGCATAGTTCGACCCTCTTCAAGCAAAGCGATAGCTCGGGAGACATGCAATTCAGTCAGATCTGGCATTATGACCTAAACTCACTCGCTTCAATGAATAACAATACTCAAAAGGCTCACTTCAATTTCTATTTTCTATTAATACTCAAAAGATTGAAAAAAACTACTTAAAATGTGTTTTCTGTGATTAGAAAGTAATGAAAATTCAAAGACGTCACTTTGTTTTTCGTCTACAATGCACATTTTAATAAAAAAAATACAAATTTAATTTTTTTATTAATTGTAGTAATTAACAAATTAACAAGGTAAAAAATAGCGTACAAGTTAATTTAAATCTAATTTTAGTTTAAGCAATAGAAAGGAGAAAAATCTTGTTCTGCTAATTGTTTTGAGCAGTATATTTAAAAATATTCGACTTTTTGTTCCTACCATACAAAACGCCAATTTCATATGTAAGGACCTAATATAATACATAGTTTATATCCAATTGAACATTGCCTGAAGACATCATTTTATATCTTGATGGCGTCACCCTATCTATCTAAACAAATACTGTTATTAGAACATTTTGAAATGGCTTATTTTTTACTATCAATTTGAAAAATACCTGTTTATTTAGAAAAAAATTCATTACAAAAATACTAGTGATAAAGCATTCTTATTCATTGTTAAGTAAATAACCAGACAGGGTCTATTTTTATAGATTTTACCTAAACTATATTGATTCCTAAAAAGGTTTTATCATTATCGTTATTCGGAGCAGCTCGCTAAACCGAAGCGGAGTTTGGAACAAATAAAAGAAGATTATCGTGTTATCATTTATATCGCATCAGTGTCGCAAGTCCGACGCCGACTGTTGCGGCGGAGCCGTCGTGGGCTGCGAGGCGGCGACGGTCTGTTGGACGGCGGGCTGCGGCTGGGTTGCGACGGCCTGGGCGGGCGCCAGATGGGCGAGCACCACGTGCTGGTGGGGACGGGCGGCGCGACGCAGGGCCAGCTGCTGCAACTGCAGCGTGCGCAGAGCCGCCGCCCCACCGCCGCCGACGCTCACGCCCTCCACGCTCGCCACCACGCTCGTGCCGCTTCCGCTCGTCACTATGCTCTGAAACGTGAAAACCGACTTGAGTCGTCCGATTCGAGTCGCGCGGTCGACGCGAACGACTGCGAAACCGCGATCACCTGCGAGTGGGGCGGAGCGTGGTGGAGTATCTTGAGATGGTGGCGGGCGGCGGGCGAGGGCTGGCGATAAACGAGGTGAGCGCCCCGCGGCCCCGCGGCGTCCCTGCGCTCGGCCTTGCCCGCCTGAACGCCGCCGGCCGCCACCACGACGCGCTGCGGGGCGCCGGCCGGCCCCGCGCCGGTCGGAGCCGGGCCGCCCTTCAGCTTCTCTTTGGCCATTCGCTCGGCGCGTCGCGTCGCCACCTCCATCGGCGTCGGCGGCGCGTCGTAGTCGAGCCCCTGGTCGGCGAGCAGCGCCGCGTGTTTGGGGTTACGCGGCGCGGCGTCGTCGTGTCGCCGCTTGGGGGCCGCGCGGCGCCGCTCGGCCGCTTCGCGCATGGCCTCGAGGCGCGAGAGGGGCGGCCGCGGCGTCTCCTCGTCGGGGCGACGGCGAGCCTGGGGCGGCTTGCGGTGCTTGCGGCGCGCTCTCTCCGGGTCGGCGAGCGCGTCGTGGCGGTCGCGGCAGGCGCGCGGCGAGCGGTACGCGCGCGACACCTCGTTGACCAGATCGGCCAGCCACTCCCAGTTGGGCGCGAGCGCGGCCGGCGGCTCGGCGGGCAAACGCTGCGAGCGGAGGGCGCGGCGCAGAGCGGCGTCCTCGCACGGACTCCACTCGGGCGGCGGCACGGCGGGGTCGCGCGCGGCCGGAGGCGGGGCCCTCGGGCGGGCGCGCGGGCGCAGGCCGAAGAGCGACGGGGGCGCGAGGGGCGCGCGCGGGGCGGGGCGCTGGCGTCGAGGCGAGCGGGCGGCGCGCGGGTCCCGCCAGCGGACGGGCGGCAGCAGCGCCTCGGAGGCGGCGCCGCGGCGGTAGAGCGCGCGAGCCCACGAGTCGCAGTACACGTCGCCGTCGCCGGAGGGCGGCGTGGGCGGTCCCCACATCTGCGGAGAGGTCGCAGTTCGGAAAAGATGTCGAGCGGGCTATTCGTCTACGTGAACGTGGCTAACACAGAAGGAAACACTCACCGGCATGAGGTCTTCGGCGGGCGAAGCGCCGATCCACACCTGTAACCGTCACGGCACGTTACTCTCAGACTTCGCCCTCTCGGCTTCTCACAATCTTACGAGTCGCCATCGACCGCATCCTTCTCGGCAATTCGGATTGAGATCCCGTCTCGAGTTTGTCGGACGATCACACTCAACGAAAAGTGATCGATCGCGATGTGGGGAGTTGGGGAGTTGGGGAGGTGGGAGGCGGGGAGGGTTTCGAGCGGCGGTCGAGGTCGGCCGTAAATGCTTGGGCGCCTTACATCCCTGACGTTCGGCTTCGCCGTTTTGGTGGCTTCTCGCGGTCACCTTCGCCGTCTGAGGGCCAAGCATTTACGGTCGATATCGAGCGGCACCAAAACGTCGAACGTCAGAAATATAAAACGCCACGTGACAGTCTCAATCATTTATTATCGACGTCGCGGTCGTCGGCCTCCGCCCCCTCGGCCAGCCAGGAGTCGAGCGTGCCGTTGCGGCGCCGGGCCGCGCCCTCGCGCTCGTCCAGCGTCCACAGGTTGATGTGCACCGTGCCTCTGGAGCGAGTTCGCGGCGCGCCGCCGGGCGGAGACGGCGGCGGCGAGGGCGGCGGCGGCGGCGCCGACTGCGGCGCGCCGCGCTTGACTCTCCGGCGCCCACGCACCTTGGTGCGCGCATCCTCGCCGCCGTAGGTGAGCGGCTCCTCGTCGTCGTCGAGGCGCGGCTCGGCGGGCCGGTCGGGCTGGTCGGGCGCGTCGGGGCGGTCGCGCAGGGCGGCACGCGCCTTCTCCCACTCGCGCAGCTGGCGCCGCATGTCCTCGAGGGCGGCGCGCTCGGCCTCCGTGGCCGCCTCGCCGCTTTCCACCACGCGCATGGCGTATCTCTCCACGGGGCTCAGCTGCATTTGGACAGACAATGGTGAGTATAATATTTCTAAGGACAGAGATGCACGCAACGCAAATTTCTCGGATGGCACTTTGTAGTGGAGTGGTTTAAATGTATGTATAGATTGTAATGTGTACTCTTGCAGTGCAATAATGTTCTTTCAAGGCAAATCACGTAAGCCCAAGAGGTAGAAGCTAAAACGACAATTAAAACGTCTTCCAATGGGACTTAAGCTTCTTGTAGTAATTTCAGTATAGTAATGTCTATAGCTATGGCCGGTCTGACGAATGACAAATGCTTCGTTTATCTGGATGATTTGTGTATAACCAGATCCTGAAAAAAACAATAGTTCTAGTACCCAGTACCCAAAAATGTAGATGAAGTTGAACCATTTGTGGCATTTTGCAATTATGTAAAGCCAACGATAACGGGTGTGATCAGCCTAGAGTTGTGGAGTTACTAAGGAAGCGGAGTGATGTCGTGGAGATGATTTTGATAGAAAAGTATAGAAGACGAGTGTCTCGCTTTCATCCCAAGTGGAATGCCCCTTTCTATGTAGTAGGTACACAAAACAACCGATGGCGATTACGACGACTGCGTCATCAGGTTTAGAAAAAATATTTTTGACTTGACGAAGATGGAAATTGTTACATGTTAACGATTCAATGTGATTCGACAAAAGAATTATATATCTCTCTAGCTCTATCTATTTTTTTACTTCACCTGCTTGACGAGCGCCACGCACTCGTCGGGCGCGTCGACGGGCGCCTCGGCCGCGTCGTCGAGGGGCACGCTCTCGTCGAACTCGGCGAGGTCGCGATGGGCCTCGGCGCGCGCGGCCACCGCCGCCGCCGCGTCGGCCTCGTCCTCGCACGCGGCCAGCGCGCTCTCCAGATCGCCGCCGTCGGCCGCGGCGCCGCCGCTCTCGCCGCCGAACAGCTCGCGGACGTTGGTGTCGCGCAGGTACGACGTCGTGAAGTGGCCGTCCTCGATGGCGAGGTGGCCTAGCGCCCGCTTCTGCTCCGCCTTGCGCAGGATGTTCTCCTCGACGGTGGCGGCGGTGACGAGCCGGAACACGTGCACGTCCCGCGTCTGGCCGATGCGGTGGCAGCGGTCCTGCGCCTGCGCGTCCATCGTCGGGTTCCAGTCGGAGTCGTAGAACACGACCGAGTCGGCGCCGGTGAGGTTGAGGCCGACGCCGCCGCTGCGAGTGGACAGGATGAAGGCGAAGATGCGCGGGTCCGTGTTGAAGCGGTCGACGAGCGGCTGGCGCAGGTCGACGCGCGTGGCGCCGTCCAGGCGCAGGTACGTGTGCCCGTGCATCGACAGGAACGCCTCGAGCACGTCGAGCACGCGAGTCATCTGCGTGAAGATGAGAACGCGATGCGCGCCCGCCCTGAGCCTCCGCAGCAGCCCGTCGAGCGTCTGCAGCTTGCCGCAGTCGTACTGCAGCAGACGAGGGTGCGGGAAGGCCACGGCTTGGCGCTGCGCGGGCGCGTGCACCTGGGCCAGAGCCAGCCGCAGCGGCGGAGCCAACGCCCGCCGCAGCCCGGATTCGCGGCGGCGCCAAGCCCTCGCGCCTTCGCCGCCCCCGCAGGCCAGCGACGGCGGCTCGGCACGGCACGGCGCCCAGCATATGCCGAACCTGATTGGAAACGGACAGACTCAGTCCCCAGTTTATCATATTAATGTAGTTTATACGGCATTGTATCTTTCTATTATCTAATACATAAAATTCTCGTGTCACAATGTTACTTCCCATACGTCTCCGAAACGGCTCGACCTATTCCTATGAAATTTTTAATGCATATTCTGTAAGTCTGAGAATCGGCTACTATCTATCTCTCAAACCCCTCAGTGATAAGGAGTGTCCACCCTAAAAAAAAAATTTTTTTTATTATGTATATTAAAAAATACACATAATCCTCAATTTTCATCCCTCTACGATCAACCCCTATTTTTTATTTGTTAATTAAAATTTATGACTTGAACTCCGAGGTTCATATAGAAAATAATTCACAAACAAACCTAAAAGGTTTAATTCCGGAAAACTGAACATTCTCTGGGGTCGGTATGTACTAAAAAGGAAGTCTAGGGGGCGGCTAGTTTAATAATATAATAAAACGTGCGTATTGACGCATTGAATGTGAATAAGACAGACCACATAGAGGACTGGCATTACTCCAGCGAATTATCATGTTCGGGTCACAGGTGGACCCGTTTTGCAAACGAAGCTGTTTATTTATTTTATCTATTCTTTTCTTCTTTTTTAATTTTTCTCCTTCTCTATCATACGTCGATCTTTCTCTCTGTAGCTTTGTATGCTGCTTTAGTGGGCGCCCAACTTTGAGATCCATATGTTAGTAGAGGTAATACACAAGTATTGAAAAGCTTCCTTTTTCTTTCGAGCGCCTAAAAGCTCTTCCATTGTTACGTGGTAACTTGTCTTAAATATTTAAAATAAAATACATAAATACAATCAAACATAATAACTAGTTTTTTCAATTAAATAAAACCGCGCGCTTTGGTTAGTGTTGCATCATATGACCATATAAGGTAATCGTTGGTTCCGGAAATTAAATTCTTTCCAGAACGTCTTATTACAAGCGGACAGTCATAGGTATCTAGAAATATCGAGAATAAAATACAATTGGTCAGCTACCTGCGCATAATTCTTTCTCGCTCGGATCAATTATTGCTATCTCATTATTACAAGAATTAACTAGTTTGTAGATAATGGTATGGGGCGTGTCTTGTTCGTTTGACCGTTCTATTTAATATCTCTGTCTCATCACCGACGGAAAGGTCTATAATTCGGTGGAGGATGACTGCTACTCGGGAGAGGAAGTAGTCGTTCCGAGAAAGATATAAAAACAAGTTCGCTCTGGAAGGAAGAGGGGATTATTCGACGCCAGTGAATTGATACGAGAATTTTATGTAATTAATATTGTGATTTATCCTTGTTCATAGTTCTGATAAAAATCAAGTCAGTGCAATTTTAATTAACAAATAATTAAATAAATTTTTTATCATATTTGAAGCCCCTGGGAAACTGGGGGTTCACGGTACCGAGTTGTGAAACCAAAGTTAACTTCTCCACTGAACAAGTTTTGTTGAAACTTCAGTCAACTTCTTCACCAGCACCTATCGGTTCCTAAACAAGACAGGGTTGGCCTGACCGAAGACCGACACGCGTCAAGAAGACGTTGGATCTGAGATAAGTTCCCAGTGCACATGGGTTTTTGTATGACCAGAAACTTCTCTGTGTTTGCGAATCACACCTGGATGTAATTTTATTTAGAGTCAGTTTTTTATTAACGTTACTTAATTTAAAGTAATTATTTTTTTTTGCACGAGATATCTTGCCGTATGGTTTCAGCCTCATCCTTTGGACCAAATTATTATTATTATTTTTTTTTCTTTTCTTTTGTTATAATTTAAATAAATTTTTGTAATTGTTGGAGGTTGTGTTTAAATTTGTACCCGTCGTCAGGCGGTCGTAACACAATGCTTTTGCTATTGTTGTGACGATTTCTTCTATCGTTGAATCGGTCATAAACATTGTCTGACGAGGTACGAGTATTCAGCTAATTATTGTGTAATACTGTTGTTCAATAATATTATTTCATTTTAAGAACCAAAATCCTGCTTTCCGAGTCAAGTTCTGTGAGTTTTCAAAAAGCTATTTTAGTATATAAGTATCTGCAATTTCTCTTCCCTTTGCCCAGCGCTCTATCGGTCTGCCCGTTTTCTTTTTTCCTTTTGGACTAGTCGCACGCTGGCATGAACGTATTTTGGTTTTGTTTTGTTGACCACCTTTTCCTTCAGTTTAAGGAAGCTCACCTTTGAGGATTTCTTTTAAGGTCCAAAACTTCCAAGTCGCGGTGATGCGAGAGATAGAGAGCTGGAGCGGCGTGGAGATCCCTTATATTATGGATAACCCTTATAAATAAAATAAAAAATAACAGATCACCGGTCGATGACGTCGTGCATTTCCGCAAGAATGTCGTCGACAGTCTTGGGCGCGAACGGCGGCGGCGGCGGCGGCACGCTCAGTGCGGCGCGCAGGTCGGCGCCGAACAGCGGCAGGCGCCAGCACCTCCGCTCGTTGACGCGAGCCGCGCGTCGCATGCAGCTCGCCCGATGCGCCTCTAGCCGTCCGCTCGCGCCGCCTTCGCGCGGATGAGGGACGACCGGCGCGGGAGCTTCGGACGCGCGCGGAGCCGCGGACACGAGTCGCGGAGGCTGCGGCGCGACGGCGGACAGCCGCGAGGGCGGGGCGCGCGGGACGAGGCGCAAGTGCAGGCGGAGGGCGGCGGGCGGAGGCCGCGGGGCCGTCGGCGCGGGTCTCTCGGCGAGCTCCTCGACGAGGCGGCGCGGGGGCGCCAGGTGTCGAGCTCGGTGCGCGGCGAAGGCGTCGACGACGTGCAGCTCGAGCGAGGCGAGGTCGCCCCCGAGCCGAGCGGCCGCGGCCCGGCGATCGTCGACGGAGGCCAGCAAGGCGACCGCGGGCACGCGCAGACTCAGCGGGGTCAGGTGGAGGGGCGAGGTCACGGGGCGGGGCTCGAACAGGTCGGGGTGGTTGCACACCTTGCGCAGCTGCATGAGCACGTTGATGACGCTGAGCAGGTTGCCCGAGGCGAGACTCTCCTTGGTCTTGGCGCGCGACATGAAGTCGTCGTACAGAAAACGCTGCCGCTTCGCGAGCCGGCAGAGCAGCACGTGCTCGTGCTTGCGCGGCAGCTGGCGCTCGACGTCGGCCTTGAGGCGGCGCAGCAGAAACGGGCGCAGCACCTCGTGCAGGCGCCGCAGCAGCGCGTCGGACTGGCGCGAGGAGGCGCCCTCGGCGATGCCGGCCACGGGCGCGAACCACTCGCGGAATTCCGAGTGCGAGGCGAACACGCTGGGCATCAAGAAGTGCATCAGCGACCACAGCTCTAACAGACTGTTCTGAAGCGGCGTGCCCGTCAGCAGCAGCCGCCTGAAACAGTACCGGACGCCCCCTTATAGCCATCGTCACCGCGAATTAGTTTAACACCGTACTTTAGCATTCTCCACGTCTCGGTATGTAGGTATGGGTTAGACAAACTGCTTGGAATGATTCCCCCCACTGGTCTTTTGGGTCAACAGGGAAGGCGAGATCAAGAAACGAAATAAATGATGAATTAAGTCAAATATCCTCACCTCTCGGTTTGAAAATTGAGCAGCATCTGCCAACGCTGAGATTTAAAGTTCTTGATGTTCTGCGCTTCGTCGAGTATTAAATATTTCCAGCGCTTTCTCCGAAAACTCTGATGATCCTGAACGACTAGTTTGTAAGACGTGATGCAGACGTGGAAAGAGTTGGCCTTGGTCCAGCCGACGCGCTTCAGCTTGCGCTCCTTGATCGTGCCGTAGTAGGTGAGCAGCTTGAAAGCCGGACACCACTTCTTGAACTCGCACTCCCAATTGAGCACGAGCGACGTGGGCGCCACGACGAGGTGGGGCCCCCAATCGTGTCGCTCCAGGGCCAGGTGCGCCAGCAACGCGATCGTCTGGATGGTTTTGCCCAGGCCCATTTCGTCGGCCAGGATGCCGTTGAGGCGGCGCGCGTGCATCGTGGCCAGCCAGTGCAGCCCCACCTGCTGGTACTCGCGCAGCGTGTGGCGCAGCAGCCGCGGGACCGGCGTGCCCACCGCCGTGTCGGACAGCGTGGTGCCGGTGGGCTGGAGCGAGGCCGCCAGCGAAGCGGCCGCCTCCACTCTGTCTTCGCCGTCCGCCTCGTCCGCCACCAGCGACTCCAGCGGCGCCCGCTCCGAGGCGCTCGATTCGGTCTCGCTCGAGGCGGAGACGGCCTCGGCCTCGTCGGCTTCGGCTTCGGCTCGGCGTCGGCGTCGGCTTCGACTCCGACGGACCGTCGTGGATATCGGCGCAGCAGCTCGTCGATATCGAGGTCGGCCTCGCTGCGCAGCGCGGCCAGTTCGGCGGCCGTCTCGTCGGGCCGCTCGGCGCGCTCCTGCTCGTCGATGGTGCTCTCGTCGTCGGCCGAATCCTCGTCGCCGCCGTAGTCGGACGGCGGCGGCGAATGCTCGGGAAGGTAGCCGGCCGGCAGCAGCTCGCCGAGGTCGAGCCGCGACTCCCGGCGCAGCGCGTCCAGTTCCCGGCCGTGGTCGGCCGGGTCTTCCCGTTCGGCGGCGGCGATAGTCTCCTCGTCGTCGTCGGAGTCGCCGCGCGGTTGGAATTCGTCGTCGGAGGGCGGCCGCTCGGGGTGCAGGTTGGCGGCGAGCTGCCGCGAGTAACGCTCGGTTCGATCGACGATGTAGCTGAGCTGCTCGTCCAGCGCTTGCTTACGCGCGCGCTCTACGCGGACCGACCGCTTCCATTCCACCACCTGAGTGAGAGAGGAGGTCACATCGCATAACATTCCATTTCACATTGTAAGCTCTAAATTTTAATCGGTATAGAGAGAGAGAGAGAAAGAGAGAGAGAGACTAGGACGTACGTTTTACTCACTCGGGTTTTCCTACTACGTAAATCGTCGGGGTTACGCCCCGAGACTTGCGAGACTAGTGTATCATAAAATTATTATTATTATATATAAAATTAATTTAGCATCATGTGTGCAAGGATTTTAGTCGGTCAGAACAGAAAATTGCACAAAGCAAAATGTCCGGTCTCAAAAGAACGTCATTTACGTCGGCGAGAGGTCACTCTGAAGACTGGGGAAGGAAATAAAGAATAAAGTTACCTTTTCAACGTTGGTCCAAAAAGTCCGGATTTCTTTAGCTGCAAATGCCGCGATTTTTCTCAACTGTAATTCTTGAGCTTTTTCTGCTTTTTGTGCTGCTACAGCTTTATCTTGGAAATATTTCTGTACAGCTCGCGCGCACTGAAATCGATATTATTTGATTACCAAATATATTATTTTATTCCCTGTATGTTTTTCTACGTGAACGTCTGAGCCGGTCGAGTTCGCTCGAGCTCAAACCGATTTACCTTCTTAGCGGCCTGTTTTTTCCATTTGCGCTCATGCGCGAAATCCTGCGCAAGCCAAGCCATCTCTTCGAGCAGGTAGTCCCAGTGCGTTTTGGGGCGGGGCGGTTCCAACACCCGCGGCAGCCTCCGCTCGGCCCAGAGGCCCCCTCGCGCCAGAGCCGCTATTCGAGCCGCCACCGCCGCCTCCGCGCGCGCCTTCTCCACTACTTCGTCGGCGCCCGCCTGCGGCTCCGGCGCGCTCGGAGGCGCATCGACGGCCGTGTCCAGATTGACCCCCGCCGATTCCGCAACGCCACCCGTGCGCCGCGCCTCTACGTAGGCCAAAAGCGCGGGCGCCGGCGGACGCTTTCGCCACGCCACGTAGTCGATCATGTTTCCGCCGGCCTCCAAAAAGTACTGCTCCTTGAGCAGCTCCGTCGACCTGCAACCGACGACGAACGTTAAGCACGAATCGCCTGGCCGCGAGCTGACAGCAGCTTTCGGTGAAAACTAACCTTTCGCGCAGATTCTTGAGCCGCAGCAGCTTATATTCGAGAATACGTTTTCGCAACGCGGAGGCATCTTCTGCGAGAATTAGCTTAGGCCGCTTGTTGGGGGGTTCCTCCGGGCGATCCGACGGAGAGCCGTTGAGCGCGGCGGCCGCGCCGGCGAAGCCGCCGCCCGCGCCCTCACTGCGCTCCACACCCTGTCGAATTATCAAAAGGATGTGCATGTAGCATGTATCGTAAAATTAATTAATAGTACGCTAGATGAAATTTTAATAAATAATAAAAAATAAAAAAAGCCCTTTTATTTTTTGCAAAAGATCAAAGTAAACTTATAGTACGGGAGGTAGCAACGTTTTCGAGAAAGAATTTCAGGTCAGCTGATTTTGTGATATGTCTTCCTTCTTGCACTTTCGGTTAGAGTCTGGGCAATCTGGCTGGCGGTAGTGGTTGCGTTCTTTAGTGCGCATCCTATCTGTCCAGCCAATATCCTGGATTTTAAAAGCATTTTAAGAAGCGTAATTTTAAATTTTTCGTTTTTAAATAAGTCTACCTGACATACTTTTTTTATTGCCAGACATTTTTCACATTGCTAACTATGTGCCAGACGCGATTTTAAGTTTCTTTTTTATAAAAATTTCAAAGTATTTTAGAATGTCTGTAATTTTAATATTATGTTATTTAAATATAAGAAAATCTAAAAATGAATTTGCCAGACATTAATTCGATTGTTAAGTCTTGAATTAAAACGAAAAAGTATTGCAGTATGATGAAGCATTGCATTTTAAGAAGCGTAATTTTTGATTTTTCCTTTTTAAATAAGTCTACCTGACATACTTTTTTTATTGCCAGACATTTTTCACATTGCTATGTGCCAGACGCGATTTTATGTTTTTTTTTTTATAAGAATTTTAAAGTATTTTAGAATGTCTGTAATTTAAATATGATGTTATTTAAATATAAGAAAAACTAAAAATGAATTTGCCAGACATTAATTCGATTGTTAAGTCTTGAATTAAAACGAAAAAGTATTGCAGTATGATGAAGCATTGCATTTTAAGAAGCGTAATTTTTGATTTTTCCTTTTTAAATAAGTCTACCTGACATACTTTTTTTATTGCCAGACATTTTTCACATTGCTATGTGCCAGACGCAATTTTAAGTTTTTTTTTTATAAGAATTTTAAAGTAGTTTAGAATGTCTGTAATTTTAATATGATGTTATTTAAATATAAGAAAAACTAAAAATGAATTTGCCAGACATTAATTCGATTGTTAAGTCTTGAATTAAAACGAAAAAGTATTGCAGTATGATGAAGCATTGCATGTTAAGAAGCGTAATTTTTGATTTTTCCTTTTTAAATAAGTCTACCTGACATACTTTTTTTATTGCCAGACATTTTTCACATTGCTATGTGCCAGACGCGATTTTATGTTTTTTTTTAATAAGAATTTTAAAGTATTTTAGAATGTCTGTAATTTTAATATTATGTTATTTAAATATAAGAAAAACTAAAAATGAATTTGCCAGACATTAATTCGATTGTTAAGTCTTGAATTAAAACGAAAAAGTATTGCAGTATGATGAAGCATTGCATTTTAAGAAGCGTAATTTTTGATTTTTCCTTTTTAAATAAGTCTACCTGACATACTTTTTTTATTGCCAGACATTAATTCGATTGTTAAGCCTTGAATTAAAATGAAAATGTCATGAAAAGTATTGCAGTATGATGAAGCATTGCATTTTAAGAAGCGTTATTTTTAATTTTTTTGTTTTGTTCAGAATCAGAACAGCGTACCTATAACAACTTCTGCGTCAAAATCGATTTGGCAAATATGAAAAAGAATCCTAGAATCAGATTCTTCGTGTTCTTCACACGATAATGATTCTTCAATAGTTTTAATTACTTACTTAGTTATTTATCACTTTGTATGAATAACATTTATTAAAACTTACGTAAATGTTTTTATTACCAATGAAAGGCATCATAGTGAAATACTTTTTCGTTTTAATTCAAGACTTAACAATCGAATTAATGTCTGGCAAATTCATTTTTAGTTTTTCTTATATTTAAATAACATCATATTAAAATTACAGACATTCTAAAATACTTTAAAATTCTTATTAAAAAAAACCTTTAAATCGCGTCTGGCACATAGTTAGCAATGTGAAAAATGTCTGGCAATAAAATAAGTATGTCAGGTAGACTTATTTAAAAAGGAAAAATTAAAAATTACGCTTCTTAAAATGCAATGCTTCATCATACTGCAATACTTTTTCGTTTTAATTCAAGACTTAATAATCGAATTAATGCCTGGCAAATTCATTTTTAGTTTTTCTTATATTTAAATAACATCATATTAAAATTACAGACATTCTAAAATACTTTAAAATTCTTATAAAAAAAAAACTTAAAATCGCGTCTGGCACATAGTTAGCAATGTGAAAAATGTCTGGCAATAAAAAAAGTATGTCAGGTAGACTTATTTAAAAAGGAAAAATTAGAAATTACGCTTCTTAAAATGCAATGCTTCATCATACTGCAATACTTTTTCGTTTTAATTCAAGACTTAACAATCGAATTAATGTCTGGCAAATTCATTTTTAGTTTTTCTTATATTTTAATAACATAATATTAAAATTACAGACATTCTAAAATACTTTGAAATCTTTATAAAAAAGAAACTTAAAATCGCGTCTGGCACATAGTTAGCAATGTGAAAAATATCTGGCAATAAAAAAAGTATGTCAGGTAGACTTATTTAAAAACGAAAAATTAAAAATTACGCTTTTTAAAATGCTTTTAAAATCCAGGATATTACCTGGACAGATAGGATGCGCACTAAAGAACGCAACCGCTACCGCCAGCCAGATTGCCAAGACTCTAACCGAAAGTGCAAGAAGGAAGACATATCACAAAATCAGCTGACCTAAAATTCTTTCTTTTCAAACGTTGCTACCTCCCGTACTATTAATACTATATATATTTTTGTAAGAAAATAAATTCCATTTTTTTTTTTTTCTTTATTTATATCTATTTCCCAATTATCTTGCAAAAACCCTTCCGCAGGTGAAGGCCTACTCCAAGGATCTCCAGGTATCTCGGTTTTGGGTGAGTTGCATCCAGCTCGAGCCAGCCGTTTTAGCAATGTCGTGCGCCCATCTCGTGAGCGGTCTTCCTCTGTTTCGTTTCCCAAAAGGGCCTCCCCACCGGGTCACCCTTATGGTCCATCGATCGTCAGATAGTCTTTCTACATGCCCTGCCCATCTCCATTTAAACTTTAGAGCATAGTTTAGCGAATCAGTAGCTTTAGTAACGCTTCTTATCTTTGAGTGTCTTATTTTATTGATTTTTCTAATGTTAAGCATGCTCCGTTCTGACCCCTACAAGTTCTGATTTTTCTTTTTATCTTCTCTGTATATTTCTAAGGCAAGCATATGTTACACATGGCAAGAGACAGCTTGACATGGCTTTGGCATTCGCCTTTCAATTTCTAAATAGTTGTCCTTTTCAAAGCTGATTTGTTTTCCTAGGTAAACAAACTTGTTTGCATATTTCAGAATTTCTCTATCTACCAATATTGTCTTTTCTATACTGTTTGTCATTAGCATTGTCTTTGTGAGGTTCATCTCTAGACCTGCCTTCATGCTAGCCGTCGTATTTAATGATGAAATTTTACTAGAATGAAAGTTCGAAAAAAGTTATACCGGTAGCAGTTAGCGGAAAATAATTTCTAGTATTGCTGCTATGCTATTTATGATTGTAAGTAATACACATTGGGAGATAGATTCTAGAGCTTCTTGAACCCACAAACACGACCTTTGGGCTGTTTAAGCCTTAACACCTTAAATTTTTTAAGCAACAGCTTTAGCATATACCATCTTAATCTAAATTTTGGTCTTAAACGAAAAGACGCACCTCCAAATAAGATGTAATATGCAGTGAAACCTCGACATATATATTAATTCATTCCAGCTCCCAAAACAACACCTTAGACGTATTTACAAGAAGAAACATTTATTAACAAATTTTATTACATATTACATAGAATATGTAAACAAAAAAACATAATAAGTGAAAAAGTAAAGTGCTTACGGAAAGCGCTTAAATTTCGTTTTCACGTGCAGATCGTTTAAATAAAATGTGCAAGGTGTAGTTAATTCCTCGTATCTCAAATCTTGCTCTCATCTCAATGCAAAATATTGCTCGCTCAGATGTCAAAACACTTGTATATTACGGCCTGGCCACGGGGATCAGCGGTGCGAACGGCGATGCGGGAGGCGAGGCGACCATTCGCGCGGGGCCGTTTGCAGGCCACGGACCAGTCACGTTTGCCGCCGCGACCAGTAAGGAAGTTCGACAGCGAAATGTCTATATTCTTATGAATATTCAACCAGAATTGGAGAAAAAAGTTAATGCAAATAGAATTTTAAGTGCCGCTGAAAAATTGTTTGAAAGGTATATTAAATTAATGCTGTGGATGGCCAGACTTCCAAATAGCTGGTCTAGCCAGTATTTCAGTAACAAAAAAACTCTGTATTCATTTTTCGCCGCGACCACGACTTAACTTATTTATTCCCTTCTCTATTCGCCGCGACTGCCGCTCGACTCCGTGGCTTGCACCGTACTGATTCATGCATTTGTTTCGCTCGCCCGTCGCGACGTCAGTCGCCAGCGCGATTCGCTCGGTACATTTCGCCGGTCGCATCGCTGGTCGCCGTTGCGCGTGGCTTGATTAGTACATTGCTATGAGTTTATTTCAGTCGCTAGACGCATCGCGGTTCGCACCGCGCGAATATTCGCGTCAGCGAATGTCCCGTGGCCAGGCTGTTAGGGCACTTATTATTATTATGTATATAAACACACTAGCAGCTTAAAAAGCTAATTTGTGTGTATTTTGAGATTTGGAGAAACTATCCAATCTTTAGGGAATTTGTGTTATCTTGAGTGGTCTTAAGTTTTAAAGAACTACACCTCAAATGTGTATTTCACTTAAAATAAAGAGCTTCTCAATTCCTGGAACATTATAGTGGCCAGAGAGGATTTTATAGGTTTCAATGAGATTTCCTCTTAATCTCCTACTTCCTAAATCAGTAAGGTCAAGTGCTTTCAGACGCTCATTATAAGATTTATTTCTGAGTGACCTGATCATTTTCCTGGCTTTTCTTTGAACCCTTTCAATCATACTAATATCCTTTATGAAATAAGGATCCCAAATGATGTAGG